CCTTTCAGGTCTTCAGCCTATGAAGAAGCTCAATTAGGGGAATGACTAGAATTAAGCAGACAGTATGAACACTCTGATTAGGCAAACAAAGTAATCCTCGCTACAGAGGGCCTAGTGACAGCAGAAAAGTCTGTCACTACCTCACTGTCATACTACTAGAGACAGAATGCACTTAGACACTTAAATCACAGTTCTACCAAGCTCAGAGGGACACCTAAAGGTCCAGGGAATATTAACCAGCTCTTTCAAGGGCTTAAGGTAGAGCCTATGGGTAAGAATCGAAGTACAAGGATCTACTGAACAGATATAATATTGGCACAGCAGTATTCGTTGCAAAGACCACAAAACTGATCTATATGTCCACAGCTGGCCAACAAGAAATCACAATCAGCAGAAGGTAGGTCTTAATGATAGTTATTTTCTTTTTGATTGAAGGACCTCATCAGTAACAAGGTGGATTGCAGATGAATAATCAAAGTAATTTTTCCAAATACAAGTTCTCTCTCAGGCTTCATACTTCTTCTCGGTGTTTGCTTCTCTGGACTGTGTACTTGACTGATTTTATCTTTAGATTTGAGAAAGGTAAGGAACAAATCCTCTGGTACCAGAACAATAAGCTCTGCATAAAATCCTGACAATCTAATGTGAAGCCAAGCAATGCTTAGTGTGCCTTGAGTAAGGGTGTACTCTTACTCAATCACTGTGCCAAATAGTGTCCTGCAAATATATCTGTGTGTATGTTTTATATAACTAAGATTACAGATGTAGACACATATACATGTTACCCTGTATCACAATACATTTCAGTAACCAATGGACTTTCAGGCAAGAATATCTACTGGAACAAAATCTGTTGTAACTTTAGTACATGTGCAATTGGTAACACATCAAGGGAGCATCCTGTCCTTTAAGATACATGAGAATTTCATCATAGATTACAAAATGGAGGAATTGGATTAAAATTGCTCCCTTCCCCACTCCCCACAAAAAAAAAGGCTAAGTAATAACTGAAAAGCTTTGCTGCACTAAGTAATACAAAACAAAATTAAACAAACCCCAAAAATGTGATGCTTTGTTTCTTTTACTCTCCCTTTTCTTCTGTAAGGGGGTAGTTGTCATAAGGAAAGCTTTCTGAAGAAAACATGCCAAAATCAACTACTTCTCCAGGGCTAAGCAACTGCTAACTTACTATCTTGAAATTTAAGGCCACTATCTATCTACTGTGTACTATTTAAGTACCAAAAAAAAGTTATTTAATAAAAAGCAAGACATTTAAGCATTTTGGTTCAAAATCTGAAGAGCACACTTAAGACTGGTCCTGACTCCAAAAGGAAAGAGATATTAGTTTGCCCCTTGACAATACTCGGAAAAACAGCCAAACAAAAAGCCATCAGCAGATAGCTTGTTTTCCTTTCTGCTCTCTAGGCTTTTGTTCCTTTGGTACCTTGAGCAATCCAACAGCGGATACATTCCTAATAGATGAGATATACAAAACTTAAGAGAGCTCACAGCATTGTGTGCGCATTAACGATCATAACGATAAAAACCATAATGGAGTATTGTACTAAGAGCCACAACTGGCAAAATAGTACGATGGGAAATTGTAGCATCTATGCCTTATCAGCAGAGCAGTGGCAGGCTGCTCTATTCAATCCATGCCCAGCTCTGCCAGAGAGCAAGAGGAAACAGTGTCCCCATTCTATCTTTCTGAATAGCAATGTTATGTTATTGTATAAGCATCGGGAAGAGACAATCCTTCATGAGATCTTTACCACAGCACTTCTAGTTGTAAAGGAGTGGAGACTTGTAGACAGAAATATTATAGGATCGAGAAATCTGCAGGTTGATCTAAATTCTGCCTACATACCAGTAACACTGAACTTGAAAGGTCTCTTTGTAACACATCTTCACCCTGTCTCAGCTTGCTGGGATTTAGAGAGAAAGGCTACAGCTAGGACCAAGAGCAGCAGCAAAAATAGTTTTCACACTTGCAATGGATATCCTTTTTTTTTTTTTTTTTTTTTTTTGGTTTTTGGCCCACCGCGTCCACCATTA